GACACCTGTGGACAAAAGATGCAGAGATGAGACACCTGTGGACAAAAAACACAGAGATGAGACACCTGTGGACAAAAGACACAGAGATGAGACACCTGTGGACAAAAAATGCAGAGATGAGACACCTGTGGACAAAAAACGCAGAGATGAGACACCTGTGGACAAAAGACGCAGAGATGAGACACCTGTGGACAAACAAGGACATTAACCCTTCAGGAGCTGCTGTCTCCAATAATAACTTAAGATACCAAGTTCCTTTTATTGGACTCTGATTTGTAGTTTTTTATTTTATGTTTTCTGAAAAATTAAAGATAAAAGACAAAGTGTCACTTTAATATTTTAACGGGACAAAGCAGAACTTGTTGGACCAGTTGATGTGAAGAATGAAACCTGAAGTCAGCTGACTGAGACAATCTGTCTCATTTATTGAAATAAACTCGTGCATTTCATGTTCAAGTCAACTTTATTGTCGTTTCCACCACATGAGGTACATGAGGTGGAACGAAATTATGTACACAGGGTCCCAATTTAATAATAATAACAATAATAACAATAATAATATTAAGCTGTCACTTCCTGCAGCATCTGAACACAAACTCTGGAACTGTCAGCCGCAGGTTTGTGGTAAAACTTTATTTGTGACTGTTGTTACAAAATCTTTTAGCACAAATAGTTTGTTCCACTAACACAAATAGTCAAGAGATGAAAAGCAGGAGCAAAAAAAACTCCAAAAATCGCTGCAGCTCCCGGATGAGATTTAAACACGTCCAAACAGGAAAGTTGTTGTTTGGAAACAATTTATTCAGATTTCTGTCGATCTTGAAACAGCTCAGAAAAACACGGATTGAAAGAGAGAAGCAGCCAACAGCCTGATCTGAAGCAGCGTCCTCTCTGCCGCCCTGCAGGAGGTGAATGTGGCCCAAGGGCCAAAAGACCGTGTCCATACGGGCCACAACGTGTTTAACTGAAAAGAAAAACTTTTTTAATCAGTTGTGACAATCTGCATTTTATGGAAGTCTAAATTAACACCTCGGACGTTAAAAACCTTTGGATTAGGACAGGCTAAAGTCAGAGTTGTTGTGTTATACAAATGGGCGGAGCCTTAAAGACAAAAAGATAACATGCTTTTTTTGTTGTATATTTATTAAGGCGGTATGGCAGGACCACAGGACTTCTCATATTTAAGGTGGTATCCTGATGTTATCTGATGTTCACGCATTGTAGCACTTTGAGATTCAATGTGAATGTAAATTGCATCATAAATAAAAGTTATTATTATGGTATCAGGATTTATCATAATTTAATGCAGTATGGGTAGGACTTCTCATATTTAAGGTGGTATGCTCAGGACTTCTCATATTTAAGGCGGTATGTTCAGGACTTCTCATATTTAAGGCGGTATGCTCAGGACTTCTCATATTTAAGGCGGTAGGCTCAGGACTTCTCATATT